TTTTCGATGTGATGGAGCATTTAACCGTTCATTTGCCAGATGAGGCGATCGCGGGAGGTCCTGTTCAATTTAGGTGGATGTATCCATTTGAACAGTTTTTCTTCCATTTAAAGAAAAAGGCGAAAAGCAAAGCTGCAGTTGAAGGTTCAATTGTGAAGCAATATTTGTTGGAAGAAATCACATATTTTAGCTCATATTATTTTGAACCTCAAACTCCGACGAAGGAACGAAGATCAGAGAATAATGATTTGGATACATATCTATATCATTATGAATCTCGGTTTAAGAACGATATTCCGGAGATTTTTATGCCGATGGGCCGGATGGATGGTAAATCAGAGGAACAGTGGTTAACTGTACAGGAGTACAACCATCTCGCTATTTATATTTTATTGAATTGCGCAGAACTTCGTCATTACGAGAGGTATGTACACGTACATATATATTATAGGTATATACATTCAATATTTGATCTTATGTCAGCGAAACTGAATATTCAACGTATCAATATATTGCAGGATCTTTGAGGAGCATGTTTTAGAAGCTTACCCAAATTTAAATGGTCAAGCTTTCGACGAATTGAAACAAGAAAACTACGCATCTTGGTTCAAAGACTATGCAAGTAGATATGTATAATAGTAATTTAATCATAAATGATTGCTAACCCAATAACAACTTGTTTTGTTGTAGGTTCAATCTTTAAGTAACGAGAGGATTCCGCATTGGGTACGAGATTTATCACAAGGGCCCAGCAGAAGAGTGATGTCATGGCTGATCATGTTCACGCGTGGATACACATTTCACACGTATGAACATGGGAAACATCGTAATACGTTCAACTACGGAGTGTGCATCAAGAGTTTGAATTACAGTGATTCATCAGATGATCCGGATTTTTTTGGAGTTTTACATCAGATCATCCAGATCGAATATCCCGGATTAGTCGGTCTAAAAACAGTGGTCTTTCGATGTCATTGGTTCGATACAACCACAAGACGTGAATCGCGGAAAAACAAATGGGGAGGAATCGACATCAATCCAACACGAGCATATCCTAAATATGACTTTTAATTTCTCGGATCAAAGTGATCAGGTCTGTTTCATTCCTTACCCAAAATATCCTATATCACAACATAAAAGATGCAAACAAGATCAATGGTCAGCTGTGGTGAAAATCAATCCTCGAAAAATGGTGATCAGTTCATCAACAATAATTGAAGATTCTGAAGAAGCGGTGCAAGACCCGAGTGAAAATTCAGTGCTTCCTATTCAACTTGAAGATTATGAAGATACACTTGTAATTGCGGATGTGGAAGATGAAGATATTGATAATTTTACCCATGTTGAACCCGCCGAATTTATTTCTGATCACAATGATACATCATCCGAAAGTGAATGATAACGATTCACTGTAATTTTTATATATTTTTGTAATATGTTGAATATTTTAAAATTTTCGTTTATTTACTTTCGGATTTTTTTTTACATATTTTTAAAACCATCAACGGACTTCCGTTGAATCACCTGCAGGATGCGACATTAAATTCAGAGACATGTCAACGGATTTCCGTTGACAAAATCCACGGAATTCCGTTGACACATTCAATTCCCAAAGTTAACAACGGATATTCGTTGATATCTCTCCAGATCTGCAATTAAATGCAGCGATATATCAACGGATGTCCGTGGAAAATTTCCACGGAATAGATCAGTCCGTGGATATTTGCAACGGATGTCCATTGATACGTTCATCCGCCAATCAGAACGTATTGAAATCCATGAAAAATATCAATGGATTCCCGTTGATCACTATATATCAACAGACGTCCGTTGATATCGTCTATAAATCTGCCAGCGATTTTCTTTCCCCCTCATTCCAATCTCAATCTCAAAACAAAAAACGCAAAAAAACGCAGAGGGATTCGCAGAGACGCAGGAACATGGTATAATTTTTTTACATTTTTTGCATTTATTTATATTTTTTAATTTGCAGTTATGTTATATATAATGATAATAATTAACTAATTAAATATATTATTATAGTTTGCTATCAGGTTTCATCGAGGCGGAGGATTATTGGCGGGATCTGCTGGTGCGTCTCCACTCCCACCTCCACCACCATCACAGTTGCCACTTCTTCCTGATGCATCGCCCGTGTTCGACGAGGATACGATGCTCGATGTCGATGCAACACTGGATGCTTTCGATAGTTGCACCGTTCCCATCATCGATCCTGATCGCGATGATGGATTATGGTATAATTATAATATTTTTATTTTTATTTTATTGAATTTACTAACTAATATGTTTATGTTATGTAGGTTTGGAGTTAATGATGATCAAATAAAAAGCGCTCTAACTAGAATAATTACAGCTCGTATGCCTCAGCTGTATTATTCTTGAACTGTAACTCCAGACCACATTCGCTGCCAGTGGTGGCTATCTTTTATTGTAAGTATTAAAATATAATATTAATTCGTTATAATCTAATTATTAAATTAGTTCTAATGTGTATATTTTTTTCTAGCTAACTTTTCGGTGGAAAAAATCGATCACCGAAAGAGTTTACAAGGAGTTTAACGTGTTGGGCCAGACGAAAATTAAATTTCTCATGAGCAATGCAAAGCGAAAGTACGACAAAAAGGGGGAGAGACCATTGTGGGCGACAGATGACATCTTCAACGCTCTTTTAGCGCGTTGGAATTCAGATCATTCCGAGACATGAGTCGAAAAGCTAGAGAGAGACGTCCCAATCAACAAGTTGAAGGAGATGGTCCTCATCGTCATACTTCTGGCGCCAAATCTTTCGGAAAACGGGCGAAAGAATTGGTATGAATTTATTTATTAATTTATAAAAAATTATAATTATATATTAATTTAATATATTTTATATATTATATTTGTAGCAACGGGAAATAGGACGAAAACCGACCATCGTTGAGTTGGTTGATCGGACGCATAGACGTTCCGATAGTCGGTTTGTCGATCCTCGAGCTGAACGGGTGTTGGGACTGGTGAACAAGAAGTTATCACAACTCACCCAAACAGTGGCTGCAGTTCATCGTCGGGTACTAACTTGTCTCCTACTGATCATGACAAGTGTTACGTTGAGGTATAAAATCAATTTTATTTTTTCAATCTTTATATTATATTATTATTGATTAAATAATTTATATATAATATACATTATTTTGTAGTCTGTTGAGCGGAACAAAGGCCGCATCTACGGTTTAGGAGGCCTCCAGAGAGATTTGCTGCAAGATTTTGGATCGCCGGTTCATCCGCAAGTATAGATCGATACCGACCAACAACGTCGGATAGGACAACTTGAACGATCGCTCCAACATCAGAAGGAAGAGACGGAGCGGCTGATGGCGGAACAACATGCGAAATGGACAGAGCAGCAAGCGAAGATAACTAATCTCGAACACATGATCGAGCTGCTTAGAGGAGTTCATCCTCCAACGACACCTTCAGCCGGCGGAACCTCCAGCGCTCGAACTCCCGGAACCACCGAAGACGAAAAAACCGAAAGTTTGAATTAGTTTTCGGTAATTTAATTTTATAATTTGTATCGAATCTCGTTTAATTATATGGTTTAATATTTTTAATTTAAATATTTATATTTTTAATTTATATTTTTTATTATTTTTAATATATAAATATAAATATATATATATATATCCAAACGTCAACGGATATATCCGTTGACAGAACTATTATCAACGGACATCCGTTGTTATATCCGTTGATATTATTAACGGATTTTTCCACTGATCGCTGTTGTTGCAAATTTGCGACGGTATATATCAATGGACATACGTTGAAATATGGAACGGATTTATTCGTTGCAAAATACATTGACATATATCAACGGATTTTTCCGTTGCCATGCCGTTGCTATTATCAACGGAATTTTATCGTTGATAATCCGTTGACATTTTCAACGGTTGGTAATGGAATCTTGATTTCAATGACCGTATTGCAACGGATTACGTCCGTTGAAAATTCCGTTGAAAATCAACATTTTCAACGGATATTTGGGCTATTTTCCGTTGATATTAGGGGTTTTTTTTGTAGTGTTATTACCATCGAAATCACATAGAAAAAGGACACATGAATACACACCTATATATATGACGTAGTTGTCGATCAAAGTTTGGGTAGTGCGTTAAAAAAGTTGTCCAAGAGTTTCATAATAAATGTGGTTATTATTGGTTAATGAATATAACGTTTTAGAGTCATGTCAATTTCTGTCCGTTTTTTGTCTTAATTTTTTTTCAGGTTTTACTTTGTAATAAATTAAAAAAAAATTGTGGTTTTCAATGCAAATTAAAGTCCGGGAAAATGTTTTCCATTTCTTTTTATTATAGATAAACTTTATATTTTTTTTAAAATTACAGTAATCTATTGTTAATTTTTTTTATATAAATATTATAAATAGATTTGATCATTTGAAGTATCACTAAACAAAAGTTTCCGTATTATATAAAACTAAATTCAAAATAAAATTTTAATAATATAGATAAATTTTTTTTTTAATTTTAATAATCTATTGATATTTTTTGTTTTTATGCCAATATGACAAATAACATTTTTTATTTAAGGGTAATCAAATTAAAAATTTCAATAATATATAAAATTAAGATCAAAATTACTATTTAATATAACAATGATTTTTTTTGTATATAATAAAGAAATAATTATATATAGAATTTTAATAGACTATTCAAAATTTAAAACCATGATGTGGATCACCACAAACCTTTAAATCTAATTATTATATATATAGATTTTTTATAAATAAAATTGAAAGAAATAACATATTCAATAAATATAAATTTTATACAATAAATATAAATTTAATCTAAAACCCAAATATTTAAGATATTTAAGAGTAACTTTAATTATTGATTAAAAAAATCTAAAAAAAAAAAGCAGATTATGGAGTGTTGCATTGATATTCATAAACAAAATTACCCAGTAACCCTAGGTTTTGTTTGGGGCCCTTTCTTTTTTTTTTTCCACCTGTTTTCAGACAGTCACGCGGGGCTTTCTCGTCTGAAACTCCCTTCCTGTCGCGGTTGCTCTTGCTCTTTGCTGTGCGGTGTTCTCATCGCTTCTCAACCTCAGGTTCTTCATTTATCTCTCTGAAGGTTTCGATTCGATCTCTTCCTGATTTGTATCGATTAGTTTTGGGTTCGTGATCTACCTGTGTTTCGATTTGTATCATTCTCTCCCTGTGTTTTCATTTCGTTTGTATGTATCGATTAGTCTAGCGTTGCTGTATTTTTGAGTGAAGTTGCTGTAATCTGTTTCGATTTCTGAGTAATTTCTTTCTGTGTACATAGAGAATGTGTTGCTGTATTTTTAGTCTATGGTGAAATTGCTGTATTTTGTTTGTATTCTTCATTTGTTTCTTTTGAACAAAACAAGAGAATGTATGTTTGAATAGAGACTGTTCCATCATCGACCTCTCAAAAACTTCAGTTAAGAAATACCATTTTCGGTGTCGGATCTGTATCTTCTGTGCCCTTGTCTTTCTAGGTTCTGATTCTCTGGGAGGTCTTGGTAGTCCAGCAGTCACATTTTCGAGTTCTGTTCAAATTTTCTGCGTGAGGTCTTTGCGTTTACAATCCCTTTTCATCTTATCGAGCTTCTGTCACCATTTTCCACAGCAGGAGATGGATGATACGGAATGCTCAGGGTCGCCATCAACATTCGTCCACTGATTACGCCGGAGTTACTCAACCGATGTACGGATTACATCACGTCATTCCCGGTGAGCCTCAGGTAATCCATCGGGCCTCGATTCTGTTCGTTTTGGTGTTTTTGAATGTCGGAAATCTCTCATTAAATCTGATGGACATCCCATTGATCTTGTTTCGGTGGTTATCTAGTCTGATTTTGTGGATTTAGTGATTGAGTAGGTTCAGATTGGATCACATGCCTTCGCATAGGACATCGTGTTTGGTGGTTCTGGATCCCCTTACTCCGGAATCTATGATAGTTGTGTTGCTCCACTAGTTGAGGCATTATTCAGAGGGTACAACATCACGGGTTTGGCCTATGGGCAGGTTCGGTTCTAGTTTCCCTTATTCGACATTTCTTGTATTAACGAGACATATTTGGTTTGATCCAAGGATATATTGTTGATGATTATGTGGTTTGGCTTTTTGTATTGTTGTCAAAGACCGGATCAAGAAAGACTTATACGATGGGCACTAATTATAATGGGGATGGAACAAGTAGGGGTGACATACCAAAGGTGATGGAGGATATATTTATAAGAGTCTAAGCAACAAAAGATTCGACATAATTTCTGATACTTGTTTCTTTTAATGAGGTAAACGAGTTGCGATTTTAGCTGCATGTTATTGTTGATATTCTTACACTCGCTTTTGCCAAGGGACAGATTTTCAATGAAGTTGTTTATGACTTGCTTGGCTCGAACTCAACTACATTGTCGAAAAATGAAGCAACACCTTATTCAAAGCCGATTAATATTTCAAGGCCTCCTATTCGAATTAGAGAAACTGCAAGTGGAGGAATTTACCTTACCGGTGTTACGGAACTTGAAGTTAAGACAAAAGAGATGATGGCCACATATCTAGCACGAGGTTCAATGTCTCGTGCCACTGGTAGCACAAAGATGAATAGCCAGTCGAGATGTGTAGATACAATTGGTATTTCTTCTTGCAGATTCTTCTTGGAAAGAAAATTTTGAATTTTCTTCTTTGTACTAATTCGATAGCTACTTTTGTTGTAGCCGTTCTCATGCCATTTTCACGATCACCATGGAACAAAAGAAGATATCAAGTAGTTGTTCATCGACAACAAATGATTCTGGTGATGATTTATTATGTGCAAAGCTTCATTTGGTGGACTTAGCGGGGTCAGAAAGAGTAAATCATACTGGAGCTGATGGAATGCGCTTGAAAGAAGGTAATTTGGTTTGAACTTATAAGACTTTTTTCTTTTCTGCTAAAACAATGAGACGTTGAATTGTGATTGATAAAGTGATTTTGCGTTTTTGCACCTTTGAAAGAATTCAAAGTAACAAAGGCCTAGTAGCACTTAAAAATGTGATTAGTGCTTTAGGTGATGACCAAAAAAAAAAAAAAGGAAGGTGCTCATGTCCTATATCGTGACAGTAAGTTAACCTGTTTACTCCATGTATCAGTTTTTATTCTTCTTGGACTTTACTCACGTAAATACCATATCAATATATTTCCATTACTAGTTAATTCTTAAAAATATATGAAGAAGCAAGTCTTATAATCAATTTTGTAAATTTTAGGATTCTTTTGGTGGCACCAGTAAAACTGTGATGATCGGTATGATTTTCTTAAGTCTTGTCAAATTAGTTTTGATGTAGTTACGATATTTTTAGTCTTAACTTGTGTTTTTTTTATCGGTGTAACTTGTGTTAGTCCTGCTAATACAAACGCCGAAGAGACATTGAACACTTTGAAGTATGCAAATTGTGCTCGCAACATTCAAAATAAGACAGTTGTATGTATATTTATCATTTTTGCTTTTGATTAGTTCACGAATGATCTGTACTTTAATTGACCTTGTAATCTATATTGTTTTCAAAAATTTTAGATTAATCGGGACTCTGCATCTGTAAAAATTCAAAGAATGCAGAGCCAAATCGAGCAATTGCAAAAAGAACTCTTCTGTGCATTTGATGAACGTCTGGTATTAGTTCTGAAGAAAAACAATATAGGACTGGTGTTTTGAATTTTTGCTAAAGTAGTATTTTTTGTGTTTTAGATTCTTAAACAAAAGGTATTATGCACACAAGAAGCAATAAACAATGAACTGCAAAAAGAATTTTTGTGTGCATTTGATGAACATCAAATGCATAGTTGTGAAGAAAAACATTGAAATATAGTGCCAGTGTTTTGAATTTTTGCTAAAGTAGTATCTTTGTGTGTTTTAGATTCTTAAGTAAAAGGTATCCTTGCTAGAAGTAAGGAACAACGAACTACAAAGGAAACTAAAGGAAACCCGAGTTGCAGAGGTTTCTCTTTATTTTTTCTTTTATTTCGCTTTCAAATAATCACTTTCAATTTTATTTGAGTGTTCAAGTGTGCACTCGGTCTTTGTGCAAAACAGTGAGACGTAAATGTCGAATGGTTTCCGTGATCACTCAAACAAAATTGAAAGTGATTATTTGAAAACGAAATAAGAGAAAAAAAGAGAAACCTCGGCGATCCTGGTTTCCTCTACTTTAGCAAAAATGGTTTCCTCTATTTTAGCAAAAATTCAAAACACCAGTATTACATTTCAATGTTTTTCTTCAGAACTAAAACCTGATATTCATAAAATGCACACAAGAGTTTTTTTTGCAGTTCATTGTTCCTTACAGTCTAGTAAGGATACCTTTTGCTTAAGAATCTAAAACCCAAAAGGTACTACTTTAGCAAAAATTCAAAACACCAACGTTATTTCAAAGTTTTTAACATTATTTCAAAGTTTTTCTTAAGAATTAATACCTGATATTCAGCAAATGCACACAAGAGTTCTTTTTGCAATTCATAGTTCCTTGCTTCTAGCAAAGATACATTTTACTTAAGAATCTAAAACACAAAAGATACTACTTTAGTAAACATTCACAACACCAACACTATATTTTAACGTTTTTCTTCAGAACTAATATCTGATATTCATCAGATGCACACAAGTGTTCTATTTGCAGTTGCTCGATTTGGCTCTGCCTCCTTTGCATTTCTGCAACTGCAGGATCCCGATTAATATAAAATTTTTAAAACAACATAGATTACAAGGTCAGTGAAAGTATAGATTATTCGTGAACTAGTTAAAAGCAAAAATGATAAATATACATACAAATGCTTTATTTCGAATATTGCGTGCACGATTTGTGTACTTCAAAGTGTTCAATGTTTCTTCGGCATTCGTATCAGCAGGATTGACACAAGTTGCACCGATCAAAAGACAACACAAGTTAAGATTAAAACATCATAAGAACTACATTAAAACTAATTATTTGGCAAGACTTAAGAAAATCATACTGATCATCACAGTTTTACTATCGCCACCAAGAGAATCCTAAAATTTACAAAATTGATTATAAAATTTGCTTCTTCATTCATTTTTAAGAATTAACCAATAACGAAAGTATATTGTTATAGTGTTTATGTGAGTAAAGTCCAAGAAGAATAAAAACTGATACTTTGAGCAAACGGGTTAACTTGCTGTCACGATATGGAACATCAACACCTACCTTTCTTTTTTTTAATATCACGTAAAGCACTAATCACATTTCCAAGTGCTAACAGGTCTCTGTTAATGTGAATTCCTTCAAAGGTGCAAAAACGCAAAATCAATTCATCAATTACAATTCAACATCTTATTGCTTTAGCAGAAAAGAAAAAAGCCTTATAACTTCAAGCCAAATTACTTTCTTTCAAATGCATTCCTCCAGTTCCAACATGTTTTACCCTGTTTGATCCCGTTAAGTTCATCCGTTGAAGTTTTGCACACAATACATCAACCACCAAAATCATCCGTTGTTGTGGAACAACTACTTGATATCTTCTTTTGTTCCATGGTGATTATGAAAATGGCGTGTGAAGGGCTACCTGACAAAAGTAGCTATCGAATTAGTACAAAGAAAAAAATTCAGCTCAATACAACAAAAAACATGAGAACAATCTTTTGCAAAATATTAAATGAATTGACATTGAAATATTACAGAGAAGCTATTTGTCCACTGGAACAGAAAAACTTCATATTTTCCTTTCCATAGATAACTGAAAAAGAAATTTGAACTAAATCTAATCAATTTATGGAAAAACATAAATTTAAAGACCTAAGTGTTAAACATTTGTATCAATTTTATGTACAAAGGTTATCTCCAATCATACGAAACAAAGGAGGAGATGAATTGAAACAACAAACCTCCCCAATCAGAAGTACTAATAGAAACCAACCTAATGACCATATAGGAATTTTCTTTCCAAGAAGAACCTGCCAGAAGAAACACCAACTGTATCAACACATCTTGATTGGCTATTCGTGTTTGTGCTACCAATGGCACGAGACATTGAACCTCATGTTAGATATGTGGCCATCATCTCTTTGTCTTAACTTCAAGTTTCGTGACACCGCGTTGCAAAGAGCAAGTGCAACCCCCACATTCGGAGAAGAGACCGTCGACCACTGCCAGCGAAGATGAAGAACAAAGAAGGAAGGAGGCGAGAGAGAGACGAGAGGGCAATATATCTACAATACCCTTTGACTGCTATCCTAACTTCTATTGTATCCTTGAAACAAAAAATTGAACAAAAAAAACTTTTTTTCATGACAAATGACACAAAAAACCCTAAACATTTACGAATAGACCAAAAAACCCAACAAATTTAAAAAAAAAACTGAAAAAAATAAAGAAAGACGCAATGTCTCTCTCTCTTCAGTCACGTCTTCTCTCTCTCTCCTCACTGCACTCTCTCTCCTAAAACTGTCGATTTTTCTTAGTCACGTCTTCTCTCTCGGAACGATTTTCGCTCAAAACCACCGAACCGTTCTCGTGTTTGTGCCCCAAAATTCATTTTCTCTCAGCGTTTCTCTTTGGGGAGATAGAAGAAATAGATGGACATAAGGTAAGTTAAACTTCAATTTCTTTGCAAATTTCGGAGTTAGATGAACACAGTTATTGTTCGATTGAAGTCTGGGTTGGAAATTTGAAGGATAGAGCGTTAGGGTTTTGGGCATTTTTGAAATTTGGGGATTTCGAAATAGAATTTTGATTTGAAACTTTATGGTTAAAATCGAGTGTGATAGTTAAGTTTCGGTCATAATGGATGAGTTTTAGTCAAATAAGAGAAATGATATAGAACACAACACCGTATGGGTCGATGGATGTATAGATTGTGATGAGGAATCGGATGACCTATGGATTCAAATGCTATGGTCTCACGGTCACAGTCACAAAGGTCACAGTGTCACACGATTGTATAGTCACTAAGTCATAGTCTCAAAGGTCTCAATGTCACATGTTTATATAATCACAAGGTCACAGTCTCAAAGGTCACAATGTTTGATGTTTTGCAGTCGCCGTATATCTACAAACTTGATCAAATTCAGTTTTGCCCGAAGATAAATACGAGATGTTACCCGGCTCAGACACTGAAGAAGCTAAAAGACCTACTAACAAACGAGGAATGGATGTACTTTAGCAAAGAGTCACAGTTTCAGCATCTGTTTCATACCAAATTCGAAGAGACACTAAAGATGGCACCTGCTGCATTCCTCATCAACCACGCAGTGTTGGTCGAGGACGATTGCGAGCTATGGTTTGTCGTCAATGGAGTACCCATCAGGTACTCCATCGTGGAACACGCCTTGATATCGGGATTGAAATGCGGTGAATATCCGCCAGGGTGGGAGTACAAAAGGAAAGACAAGTTCAGACTGAAGATGCTTGGGAATCGGAAAGTGTCTAAGCAAAACAGACTTAGACAACTTGAGAAGACGCCAATCGCTAAGGTTGCTGATCGGAAGAAATTAGCCATGGTGATGATACTCGGAGGGATTCTGGACCATGGCACCACAAAAGATAGTATCAACAATGATTTGGTGGACATGGTGAATGATTTGGAGTTCTGCGAAAGGTTTCCGTGGGGATGATATACATTTGAAAAGATCAATGATCAGATACGGAAAAGTTTCTCGAGTGAAACTCCGAAGGAAAAATGGCACTGTCGGAGATACAGATGCAAATGTTCAATTTTGGATGCAACATCTGAAAAAGAACCCGGAAAGCATATGTTGGAAGAAGAGTCGCGATGCAGAGCTGCATTGCAGAAAGCCATTGGAGACGAAAAGGAAGGGTAAGCGCAAAGTATTGATAGACGATGATTCAGAGGAAGTAGATGAGAAAGAAGATGAAGAAGAAGAAGTACAAGAACGAGAGCAGCAACAACGGCAACAACAACAACATCAACAACAACAGAGGGCTTTTCGTCAAGGAGTAACGGGGCTGTCACATATTGAAGCACTTAAGTAATATATACAGCTGGAAATAAAAGCGTCTGAGAGCCGAGTCATCAATTCTATTGGAGATATAGTTCGATGGCTTTTCAAGGACGCTGGACTCCTTTCTGATCAAGTTACGGAGAATCCAACAGAGCCCGTAATTTTGAGGACAAGTCCCCGACACACAGAAGGGTTGACGACAAGTATGATAGATCTGGGCAATGTGAGGATGAACCCAACATTCAAAGAACCAAGGTATGAAGAAGCAAAACCGACAAGTCCGATAGATTCTGTTGGGACTGATGAATATTACGATAAGGGAGAGGAAGAAGACTTTATATTGCAGTCTCGAGATGGGACTCCTATGGCTGTCTCGCCCAAGAATGCACATAAAGGAGAAGGGTGTTCGGGACTTGACACAATTGTGGCTACTATTACTGCACAAGTAGGAAGTAAGTACTGGAATAATGTTTCGGTCACAATGTAATTAAGTCACATGGTCACAGAATTTAATTTAATTATATTCATCGTTTTTTGTTTAGGTGATGGTGATAATGATAAAGGTGATAACAAGTCTGAAGGTGATGATGATAAGGATGAAGGTTACGATTCTCAAGGTCATGATTCTGAAGGTGACGATGATAATGATGATGGTGACAATTCTGAAGATGATGATGGGGATGATGAAGAAGATGATGATATAGATGACGAAGAAGATGAAGAAGATGATGATAAAGATGATGATCAAGAAGATGAAGAAGATGATGATCAAGATGATGATAAAGATGATGCATCAGATGATGATAAAGCCAATGAGGATGATGTAATGTCTGACAAACCTAACGAAGAGATAGTCACACAACCTGAAGCAGAAGTTATCCCCCCAACACCATTGAAAAGGAGTAAAAGGAAAGTCGCTGATGGTCCGACCAAGAGAAGTCCCTATGTCGATCCAATATCAAGTGCCCCCTGCAAAAAGAACTCGATCCCATGCATACCGAGGCAGAGGAAAAAGTAGGGGTAGAAGAAAAGGTAGAGTCACCATCAGTACAAGCCAAAAGGATGTTGAAGTTGCTGAGGTCGCTGAGGATTCAACCGAGAAAGAGGTTGTTGGAGAAAAGGAGTATGTGTGGAATCCTGAGCGCATTCACAGTAGTGGTAAGTTCCTTATCCGGAATCAATCTTTTGTTGAATGCGATGGACCAAGGGCTTCAGCTCTTTGGGAATTTATGAAGAAGCCATAAGAAAAAAGGTTGTGGAAGTCAGGGTTGAATGTTGAGCGGGAACCAAGTTTTTGGGAGACGCTTTTGGAAGTCGAACTATGACTCACAGATATTGTAAGTGTACTCGGTCACACAATCACAATCACACAGTCACACAATCACATAGTCACGTGGTCACACGATCACGATCCCACAGTCACAAGGTCACATGGTCACAGAATCTCAAGATTTAATGTTGATTGTATTTACTAACATGTATTGTTTTATTCTGTAGCACATGGATGAGGCGATGTACCAACTCCGAACCCGCGTTATGAAGAATCCCGTGACCTTCATTGGATGCAATTACTTGGTGTGTGACACCATGTTTGTAGAGTTAATCAATACATGGGCCGAATCGGGAGATATGACAAATTTGGGCGATCTACAACCATACTTCAACGAAAGGCTTCCTATTGGCTGTACAGGGACGCCGTTGATCAGCTACGAGGGATTCGTGAGTGTGCCTAATGTTCTCTGATTTGGCAATGATGAAATCAGTTGCAATTGGATTGCCATTAAAGTGGATTTCAGTGAGAAAACTCTGCAAATCTACGATTGCCAAGCCAGACTGCATGAAAAGGCGAAAGAGGCAGTTCAAAAACTCTGTCATGTCATTCCGAAGTTGTGTTGCCTCACTGGGTCGGAAGCTTTCGCTGATGGAGATGTATTGGACATTGAGTATGTGCAGGGCGTACCCCAAAAGAATGGGGAAGAATGCAGGGTTTTCGCAGTGAAGTACATCGAAGCCATTTGCCTTGCCAAAGAGCGGATGCTATTACCGTTGATATGCAATGACAATGTCACGCTGATCCGTGAACAACTAGCAGCAGCAATATTCGCTAATGGCAAGCCTCAGAGGTTTAGGAAGAAGAGAGAGTGAACGATCCCTAAACCCTTTTTACGTTTATGTTATTTTGAACCCTTTTTAAGACTACTTTTGTTTGTTTGACATTATCTTTTTTATTAGTATTTATATTTATGTTTCTTTGTATTAAGTTGAAAAAAAATCTCGGATTCTTAATGTTTTTTTCGAAAATTATGGGTTAAAATTTAATAGATGAAATTTTGGGGTTAAAATTTGAGAGGAAAAAAAATATAGGGTTAAAATTTGGGAGGAAAAAATTTGAGCGTTAAAATTTAGGAGGGAAAAATATAGGGTTAAAATTTGGGAGAGAAAAATTTGGGAGGGAAAAATTTTAGGGTTAAAATTTGGGAAGGAAAATAAATATAGGGTTGAATATTCAAAGTGGAACCCATAAAACACAAAAAATCTGGCGATTCTGACTGTTTCTTTGTATGGGTCCCACAACATATTTCGGTCACAATGGGTCACAGTCAGTCACAACCGGTCACAACCTTCGATCCATGTGATTTTTGTCAATTTAATCAGTCTACAATATCACACATCCCTCATAAGCCTATTTTTATATTGTTTTGAATAATAAAACATGGGTTTTGTAATTTTTTTGGTTTCAAAGTTGGTATTCCAAATGTGTTCCTATATGGTTCATATTGTTTTATGAGTAATTTTGGCAAAATTGATATATTTCTTCTACAAACCCATTTAAATAAAATTAAATTTTGCCTCTAACACTATATATTTGATATATACACTTTGATAAACCATTCCCAAGCTTTAAAATTCAAGTTTGGCCTATATTTATCAACACATTTTGGTCACGGGTCACAGTCGCTCACAATGGTCACATAGTGCAAAATTGCACTTCGGTCACATGGTCACATGCCGATCACAATGGGTCACAACGTTGTCTCACGTGAGTCAATTCATATAGTGTCTAACTTAAACCAGATATATGTCAAAATTCATCTTCAATAATACATCTTTATCATGGTACAAACACAATATTATATATCATTACATTATACAAACACAAGATTATATATCATTACATTATACAAATACATTACAACATCATTAACCAAAGTTCTTTGACATTATTATACAAATATTTTGTAACACCTCATAATACCAATAAACCACACAATTATTATACAGATTTTTGACATTGTCGATGTTTTTCACTCCAAAATAGTCGTTCTCTCTGACATTGTCGATGTTGATGTTCCCGCTACACATTTGATTCTCTTCCGTGCTTCACCAGGACCAGGATACCGATTTTGTTTAGGCCTCCCACATGGTCGTTTCTCATCCATTATAGGAGGCATAACCACAAGATTTGCAACATCCAGGTCATCGATAATCCATTCACAGCAATCGGGAACCGGATATACGGTTTCTTGATAGGCAAGATGCCATGTCTCCCGTTTTACCAATCTTATGAAGCACTGCAATTGCATGGCTGCATGGGATCTTATCGATATCAAACACCCTAAAGTTGCACGTTCTATCTTCAATGCTAACAAAGTGTTTTCTACCCTTTTCACCCGTCACTTCAAACTCCTCTGTAACAGTGTTTAGCACAATGACTTCATACGTACATGCAATTTCATACCTCTCATGCAACATTTTGTCAACATGCGGTGTCATTTTTTGTGAATCATCGGCACATCCTGCTTCCACTCTATATCTATCGAACCATTCTACGGTTTTGGAGACACACATATCCAGAAGGCCCAGCACCGGAAATCTTTTTGCCTTTTTCATTACAGAATTTATTGATTCCACCGCATTTGTTGTCAATAAATTGTACCTTTCACGCTTAAATTTACACCTCGCCCATTTCTCGGGATCAAGTTCTTCTTTCTGCATATACTCCGCAACTTTGGGATACCTACACAATGGTCACATGGTCACATCGTCACATGGTTCAGAATAAGCAATGGTCACATGATCACAATATACAAATAGTCACATGGTCACATGGTCACATTGACGATGGTCACATGGTCACATGGTCACATTGACGATGGTCACATGGTCACATGGTGACATGGTCACACGGTCACATGTTTCAAAATAATCAAAATTTTAGGTTAGGTAATAATGGTTAAAAAAACCTCATACCTGTCCTTCATATCAGTAAACAGGTCTTCAAATTCGTTCAACGTATAAGCTTCCGCGCATTTGAAGAATCGTTCGGCAACGGTATCACGTCTCGAACTTTTCCTTCCCATACCTCTGTTAACCTTGACTTTCAAATTTTGCGCTATATGTCTCGCACAAAATCCGTGCCCTGCCTCTTTGTACACTTCGCTGACGGCCTTTATTATACTCCTATGTCGATCAGAAATCACGACAACATCAGGTCCATCTGGGATTGCCTTTATTAACATTTTCATAAACCACCTCCATGATGCATCTTTTTCTCTGTCAATAACACTTCAGGCTAACGGATATAGGTGGTGGTCACCGTCTTGTACCGTTGCAACAACCAATGTACCCTTGTATTGTCCCATGAGAAATGTTGCATCAATCGCAACCACTTTACGCATTTAATTCCATCATCTTACCGCTGCACCCAATATGAAGAAGAGATATTTGAAACTTTTGCCATCTTTGTCCAACTCAAGACCGACAATTGTTCTGGAATTTCTCTTTTGCAACATATGCAACCACCCAGGAAGCTTTCTGAAATGCTCTGTGTTGGTTTAGTGCTCTATGATTTACTGATTATGAGCTTTGTTCAGATACATTCGATGTATTGATACTTTCTATATGTTTTTTTTTATGAGAGTATTTTGTTCATTACATGTTCCTGCATGCTAGATCTGTTATGAAATCCATGTATCATTATGAATGATACTAAACTCCCTAGTCTTGTGTCATTATGGGAATAACGACATAATAAGACTAGTATGATGTGTGATTGATGATCACATAGATGATCATAGGTATTGGATACGATCACAATCATAGGTATTCGTTGCAGAACGGAATACTGGACTGACCCGCATGAGATTGTCACATGGACTAGCGTCATGACTTGAATCTCATACGACGATTCCATGATTGGATCCTAAGACCTGAGATATCTACAGAATCCAACATGAGGAGTTGCGTGCTTTGAATACGTCAAACGTCCTGCGTAACAGGAGGACTATAAAGGCGTGTATCAGGTACGAAACGAATCATGTACTGGATTGTAGATAGTCAAGACGGGATTTGTACCTCTCGTAAAAGAGAGAGATATCGCTGGGCCCCTCGTGTGAGCAAGACTGTAGAAATGTGTGGCCGCACTATAGACGAACGTCGTCTATTTCAGACAGTCGAACTCAGTGAACGAGAATGCAGTCGAATCAGATAAGGTGGCTTGTCCATGCCTTATGTTCGACATATGATATCGCGATACAAAAGGATCATCAGTCGGAATAATCACTGGCTTTAGTATGATCACAAACAAACTCTATTCGAGATAGGTAGTTATAGTGTCTTGCTAGAGACCGCCAATCACTGGCTTTAGTATGATCACAAACAAACTCTATTCGAGATAGGTAGTTATAGTGTCTTGCTAGAGACCGCCTATGACTTGTATTACCGGAATGGAGATTCTGCGTTTTACTGCTATTCCGGATGAGCCTACAGGGTCACACACAATAGGGATGGACAAGTACGTGTGCTAAATTATCCCGATTAGGAATCCTAATTGGATTGAGATTCCTAATTGGAATATGAATCCTAATGGGATTAGGAATCCTATTATGTATAGGAATCCTAATGAGATTAGAATTCTATTACATCTAGGAAACCTAATGAGATTAGAATTCTAATAGGTTTAGGAAACCTAATTAGATTAGGATTCCTAGTAATCTATTCCTTGTCAAATTAGGATTTTTGGAAAGTCTATATAAGGAGAATGTCTTCTAGGATTTTAGGTGAAGAAAAAAAAAAAAGAAGAAGAAAAAAAAAGAAGAAAAATAAAACCCTAAGCCTCCAAAAACCTTGCACACAAGAGAGATCGAGATCTCTAGTCCTAGCAGACAAGTTCCAAGGTGTTGGAATCCATCCCGACGTGTGGATACGTGTAGAGGGCGAGGTATTCTTCCTGCCTAGAGTGATCGGACGAACAGATCAATTGATACAGGCCCCGGATCGATTGAGGTAAGAGTTCTAATGTTTCTATGATTCAATAGTAGCATGGTTCTAGGGTTTCATTAAAAATTTTGTTTTATATCCGCTACGCAAACCCTAGAATCGATCTCTTAGGAATTAGATTCGCTCATGAGATCCCAGGAAACCCAACACTCTGCAGAATCACCTCGAATCTCACTTTCAACTTTGTATTTGCCTTGTAATGCCGTCAAATATGTTACGGTTGTACCGTACTTGGCTTTTACCCTGTCTACAATTTCATGTGCTGAAGGCGTACTGTCAAGTTTACCGGGGAATTCTTCCTTCAAATAATCCCGAACCAATTTCTTTGTACCCCTCAAAGCTTCACTTGTTTCAGATACGGGTTTGCAGCTATGCATGGGATTGTGTTTTCTTACCCTCCAACGCTCCGAGTTTAAAATCAATGTCGTCCGCAACTTCCAATTACAGCCCGATTCAGCAAATTTGCATCTTATTTCCCACAACTTTTTATCGGATGCCAGTGTAGTGTAACGAAAACGACCAATAGCTGCACCCTTGCATTCTTGTGCTGCTTCCTTATTGTCAAACTCATGGCCAATTGTGATATTTAATCCATCACTGAAACTGAATACAGAATTCGAAAACCGAGAGTCTGCTACTACCTCAAGGGCCAAATCATGACCACCACCATCACGATCACCATCACATTCAGTCACTATAACATCCCTAAGACCACTAGAATGTTCACTGTCAGAAAGATGTATAACTTCTGCCACATTATTACTCCCAACTCTACTCTTAAAATTAGGGCTCAACATAACACAATCATCATAATCTATCCCTCTCGCTTTCTACTACCTCCAACACCACTTTCACCAGCAGAAATTATAGGTTCTTCTTCAACATTTTGTTCACATTCACCTTTCACCCGTACCTCATCTATCTTCACATAAAGCATGCCTCGCATTCCATTTATTTTATCCAGTAGATAAATATGAACATGCTTGTCATTCCATAGGTAGGTGGGCTTTCTGTTTTCTTTTACATTTGGTAAATAGCTCAGCCTGATCTCTACTTTATCTTTATCCACCTTCATCTCCGACCATAACTCTCGAACAAGTTCACTGTAGGTCATCTCCAAGGGGGGACAAAAGAATAAGAATCTTTGGTTTTCCATAACCCTTCCTTCCCATTCATATTCCCCATTCTTATTCTGTATCCAACCACTGCCATATAGAAAATATATAATTGTTGACCTCTCGTCTCGCCCATCCATTATACCACTGGAAAACAGAGTTACAAAACGAAGATCAATTCGACCATTCTGAACATTGTGACTATGTGATCATGTGACTATGTGACCATGTGACCATTATTACCAATCTGACCATTCTGAAACATGTGACTATGTGACCATGTCACCTTGTGACCTTGTGACCATGAGACCATGTGACCATATGACCATATGACCATGTGACCATGTGATCATATGACCATATGACCATGTGACCATGTGACCTTGAGACCTTGTGATCGTGCAACCTTGTGACTATTGTGTCTTTGTTCCTATTGTCACCCATGTGACTGGTTTTCCTAATGACTCGTGAACCATGTGACCAAGTGACCCTGTAATGGTGTGACCGCGTGACCACTTCACCATATAACCCCTAATCTATTTGTATTGTGCACATTGTGACCATTGTGTCTTGTTACTATAGTGACCCATATAAGTGTTCTACACATTATGATCATTGTGACCCATATACCCATGTTGACCTTCATGACAATTAACCTGTGTGACCCTGACGCTCGGAATACATCCAAAATGCAGATCCGATATAGATCTTTGATTACAAACGATAGAACTACAGAAAAAACAACAATTGGAAGGAAAAAACTGCAACAACCATCAATGTGTATGAAAACAAACTGAGATTTCGACACAAACTTACCTATTTCCACTTTCTTCACTGATTTCGCCTTGATTTGCCCGTGATTTTGTCCAAATTCGACAAATTTTGAAGACAAAATAACAAGATGAGGAGGAGAGAGAAAACACAGTAGAGAGAGAGCGTTTACTCGACAATGGCGAGAGGAGGAGAGAGAAACCGTTCTTGAAGAAAGAGAAACCCTAAAAAAAGGGGGTTTTTTAAAATTTTTTAAATTAATGTCTAAAGGGTATTTGTGTAATTTGTCAATGAAGAGGGTAAAATAGAAGTTGAAATTTTTTTTTCAAGAGGAGGTACCACTAGAAGTCCTTGTAGCACATTGAGGGTATTTCAGAAGTTCCTCCCGACGAGAGAGATACTGACTGGGAAAGGAAGTTGGAGAGTCTGAGACTCGCTGCGAAGGAAGACGACGATGACAGGCGACACCGCGACAGGAAGGGAGTTTCAGATGAGAGAGCCCCGCATGACTATCTAAAAACAGGTGAAAAAAAGGGTCGCTAACAAAACTTAGGGTTACTGGGTAATTTTGTTTATGAATATCAATGCAAGACTCTTCATAATCTGTTTTTTTAGATTTTTTTTAATCAATAATTAAAGTTACTCTTAAATATTTGGGTTTTAGATTAAATTTATATTTATTGTATAAAATTTATATTTATTGAATATGTTATTTCTTTCAATTTGATTTACAAAAAATATATCTAATAATTTTCACTTTATAAACTATTTATTTTTAGATTTGATTTATATATATCCAAACAAAAAAATATATGCGTATTTTTCTTTTTCACAGTCATGTTCCAAAAATATATTGGAATGATGCGGTGAAAATGGCTGTGTTACCTCATCAATAGACTACCTACACAAGTGTTCAGGGATCAATCTCATGTAGAGCTATTATACAACCAAAAAGATTCCATTAATCATTTACGTATTTTTTGTGGTGTGTTTTGCAAGAGGAGATGAAAGGGAACGTTCTAAACTTGATCCGAGAAGTATGAGATGTATCTGTCTTGGCTATCCAATTGACCAAAAGGCTACCTATGCCACCATCCTACTACTAAACGTGTAGTTACATCACGAGACGTGAAAATTCATTGAAAATCTTAGCTACTTTGACAAAGATTGGACAGCCCTTGACGATCTTGCAACTAGAGGACGAGACTGCAATGAGTCCCTCAACAATCTTATCACCACTCTCCAAATTCTAGGGAAGACTTCCACATGCCCTATAATGGTTTTTCTAAATTATACTTACAAAGGATTACTACTGCACTGCAAATCATGGACGGTCGTATGCATATAGTTTTTCTAAATTAAAATGTCAGCTGATAATTAAAAACACGAAAGCTTGATGACCATTATCCATCTCTTTAAAAACTTATTTAGAATCTTAAAACACTAGGAAAAAAAGTATTTGATGGTATCACAAAACACAAAACAGGATTTAGGAGGTGTCATATTGTCTTCATATATATATATATATATATATTGTCCGCATATAGGTGTCATATTCAAGTACCCGTAGAGATCTAGGTGGGGGTAGATTTAGAAAACTTGATCATCGGGGCACTACGATGTAAAGTTCACTTATTAAACCATATATTCTCCTCTATGAAAAATGAAATTATATAACTTTAGAATGCGAATATCGATCCAAATACCAAAACAGATCTATGACATGGAAAAACATGGCAAGAGAGATAAGCTGAAGTTTTAAGATAGTCCAAAGAATCTCTTACACGCCTTCAAGAACTTGCTTCTTCTCTTCTTCTTCTTCTCTTTGTTTTCACCATCTTCTTCTTCCTCCTCGGCTTCTTCTTGAAATGGAAATGGCCAAGCGGCAGAGTTCCGGTCATGGATTCTACAGTACCTCTCCGACACTGACGACGATCTTCTCATCGACAAGGCCCTTTTCACCGTTGTCGGAAATACATTCACCGATCTGTTCCTGTTCAGCCTCGGCTTCTGAGTCTCCGATTCTTCTGTCGTTCCATCAGTTTTCGGTTCGGATCCAAGTTTCAGTTTCTGGATCTGCAGATCTGCCATTGCATGGTCGGATTTTGAGTTGGCAGATTCGATCTTTGAATAGCCACTCATCTTTTATTCTCTCTTGATGCGTTTCTTTCTCTCTGTGTGTTAATTTGTTTTTGTGACTATCCATGTCTGAGTATATATACACACACATATATATATATTTCATTTTTACATGGATATATCAGCACGCCTGTGTGTGGACGAATATGTACATGTGCATGAATTTGTCTCGTCGTGGTAGATTTGGAAATGAAATGCTTAAAGAAATGCAAAAAAACCGTGCTGTGAAATTATTGTTGTACCCCTGGATAGATTTATTCCCTGCGGTATTCCCCGTGCATTTTTGGGAGCATCTAAAATATCAAAAATTTTATATGTATTATTTTAGGGTCACTATAAAATTTGGAGAATTCAATACTCAGCGTAGAATTAGAAGCATTTCGACAAAACATAGATCAATTTAATATTACTATTTTACAACTAAGATAGATAATATTAAGGTTAAATCAAAATTTATATTATGTATTGTGAAACTAACAATCGATCAGATAAAAAAAAATTTAGAAAAGTTTTAAATAAAATATATTTTTATCCTTTTAATTAGATTTATATTTAAAAAATCAAAAGTTATTTCCACTATTGATGAATTAAGAAAAGAATGATCAATTTTACGATTTTTAAATTTGTTTGTTGGTTTAATACTTTATTCAAGGAACGACATTCAATTTTTCAGCATCATCATTATTAAAAAAAAGTGTTTTGGAAAGAACTATATATTATTTCTATTGATCTATTAAAAAGTTTAGAAATAAATTCTTTACATTATGACATTAACATAGAATTAATGTACTTTTATGGAACATCTGAATATTTAGATTTTTTGTGAAATCAAAACTTCTATTTTTTTTTACATCCTAAGAGTTTGCCCTTTTTTTTAGAGTTTCCCTATAAATTAATATATAATTTTAACAATGGTCAGATCCACATAAACCCATTGGATTATCCCAATTAATAGATAATTCATGTGGATAAACCCATTCAATCCAATCATTAAATGAGCTTTCTTAAGATAGGCTCGTAATGGATTGGGTTGGACTCGTTGTCACCCGTTTTCACATATCTGTGATTTACTACAAAAAAAATCAATATTTCTAATTTTATCGTTAGTTAGAATCGCTTGAATAATCGCAATATTCCACATTTACAAGGTTATATATCAAATTCAGAAATCCATATAAACAAATAATGGTAAATACAAGATACTGTAAAACAGATTTTAGTCTAAATATGATGGTAGCCATGATTTGATTTCGTTTTTAAATCATTGGATAATTTGATTTTGATTCAAGATTCATACATGTCAATATTAGTATTTAGTGGAGGAGGTTTTACTTTGGAGATGGGCAAACAGGCAAAACGATACAATCCCAAGATAGTGGTTTGAAGAGTCATATATTTTGATCTTGTCATTATTGTCATCATGATAACTTAAAATCGTATCAAATCAAAGTAAATTATGTAAGGATCTCCATTTACCAGAAACTCTCTAAAAATTTTAAAGGCCTAGACTTTTGACCACCAGTTAGACTTTTCTTCCTTCCACATCGAAACATGTTCTCTCTCACATCGAAATACGTTCTCTCTCTTAGTCATCTATCACGACATTTGGAATTTTTTTGGTTGAATGTGATTTATATTATATACCAAAAAAATTACAATCAGTTATAAGATTGTATATAAAAATTTTCCAGAATTCATGAAGAAGTGGTCAAAATAATTCCTCAAAAGACATCATTCAATTGTTCTTAGTTGCGAATATTCATTGTAAGAAAATACCAATCTGAGAGCATAGATACTCCATCATCATTCGACTTCCTCGTAAGAGAGAGCAGCTTCGTCCGCATGATACGATCCACCTTCCACCTCGTGTACTCCATCGATTTCCGCTGGCTTCGGAATATTCGGTTGTTTCTCTCCTTCCACAAGGTTAAGCTGTCACCTGCAAAAGAATCTTGGCAATCTGCTTCCTATTGTGGTTGACATCATTCGCCGGGTTGTTGATCCATTCTGAGCATTGTAGCGTGTTAATCGGTGGGTTCGGCCAACAAAGACATGCATAATAACTCCATACTGCAGCGCTGTAGCAGCATTCGAAGAATAAGTGATTATGTGACTCATCTTCTGCATCACACAATCCACAAGTCATGAGGAAGCTACTCCCCAACGCATCAGTCAGTCTTATGCAAATATACTTATTCTATTCTAAAAAAAACATATTTAATTTTAAAAATGTATTTAAATTTCTTATGCGAAATGTGATTTGTATAAATATTTATATAAAATTTAAATATTATTATGTGATAAATTTGTATAATATCAAGGTTTTTATTATTATATTTTGAATTATATAATTATTATATATTTTTCTCAAAATTTATAGATTTTTATAACAAATTTAAAATAAAACATTTTTTTGAATAATTTAGATAGTTGTATAATTTTTTTTTACTAAATTTAATAGTTGTGGTTTTATAATGAAATTGAAGTAAAAACTTATTTTTTAACAAATTATATAGTTGACGGTTTTTTGGTTTAAAATTAATAGTTGATTAATTTTTATAATAAATTTAAAATTTAAAAGTTTTTGTATAATTAAAATAGTTGATTGTTTTTTAGTTTATCTTTGTGTCAATTATAATAAAAGAGTAAGATAATATTTTTTTATATGTAAGATGATATTTTTGTTTTGTTATATTGTATTTCATAATCTTTTAATTTTTAAAATAAAAATAATTCGATTTTTTATTGTGGATTTTTTTTGCCTTTTAAAAGGAATAAGATTGATTGGAAATTTTTATGGAAAAGATAATATTAAAGTTTTTTTTTTATGTAATTTGGTTGGATAATATTAAAGTTGAAATAGAGTTTTCTCCGGTTTGTGAAAATTGTCCGGACGATCGAAATCTGTGGGGGGCATTTTATTCAAATGACCCACTTGGATCGCAACAATTTCTCAGGTACACCACTAAAAGGTTTGAAATATCTTTTCTTTTATATTTTTTTACGACTTTTATTACGGTTGTTATATAACTAGTATACGACTAAAAAAAGAAGTATTTATGATTGCATAACAAGTGAAGATCTAAAAAAAAACATAGTTATTTTTAAATTTGAAAAATGTATTTTTTGCCACCTCATTTAGAATGAGTTACAACTATATTTAGAATGAATTATGATGTCGCAATTACAATTCCTTTTTGAATGGACAAATTACACGATTTCATTAAGGGTAATATCGTCTTTTCGAAGAGAATTTAATGTGTTATATTTTTTGTGGTGTACCCGTGGAATTACTGTGACCCATGTTGGTCATCCGAGTAAAATGCCCAATCTGTGGCTCTGCAAACATAAAATGTGAAGCTCGACTTGCGTCTGCCGCTGCTTCTGTGTTTGGATTCTTCTCGGGGTTCGTAGAGATGGTGGGTTTGAGCTCAATCGTTGATATCTGATCGGAATTCCCTCGAGAACCGATTGATGCTCGTAAAACGGTAGAACTTGAGCTCGATATTTTGCTTTTGCTCTTTAACTTGAAAATCTGAATTCGTGCTTTTTCCTGTCAATTCTGTTAGAATTAGTGTTTTGAAGTTTCCTCCTCCGTTTTCTTGTGGGACATGGGTTTGATTATTTAGATTAGATGCTTTGCCATGGAAGTATCTGGAGGATGGTGGGTTTTGGCTTTTTATAATTTCTTATAGGTTTTGATTTTTGGGTTTTGTTTGTGATCACTGTTTGCATCGAGTGTTATTCTTATTTGGTTGAGTTTTTTTATTTCCTCTCTGTTTTTGGTGAGAGATGGTGAATTGTTGATCAATTATCTCTAATTCTGTTTGTGTTGATTTTGGTTTGGGCAAAATAGAAGTGTTGCACTGAAGAAAGAATGGCACTTCGGCTACCAGCTTCGAAAGCAGCTGAAGTTGCCATCGGATCTATTTGATAAATTTATAAACTTAAACACTCTTTATTTATTTTTACTCAAACACAACACATACACAAACACACTAATCAATACACACTCACAAAAGGACCCACACAAACTACTCTCTACGAGTAGGATCACAGAAGTTTTCTTCACTCTGCAATAATTTATTTGTCCATTAATACATGCTCTTTATAGAGCCTTTTGATAACCGACACAAACTAATGAAAAAAACCATAACACTTATCTATTAAAAACTGTAATAAAAAAACCACCACAAACTGCTCCATATCTCTTTTCCACGTCATTTTCTTCTCCATATCTCTTTTCCACGTCATTTTCTTCTGCATCAAGTGAGCTTGATCCATAGTTCCAACACTCCCCCTTGGATCAAGATCTACACATCACAAAAAACAAACTTCGTTTTTACGAGTGCAAAACTGCTCCATCTCAGTTTCTCCAATACGTCTCTCGAGTGCAACGCTGCCCCTTCTCGAGTCCGCAATTTCCGGGTTTACAAACCCGACGAACTTACAACATTTTCCGATGTCCCAGAATCATTGCCTTCCGTTACCGCGAATCTTCTCTGGTTCATCTTCGTTCTTCCTTTTTTTCTCCTTAAAACAAACACATTTGACTGTATTAAAGAAAACACAGCCTTCGCAAAAAATCTTACCAAATCAATCTCTGATTGTTCATCAACAACCATTTTCTGCACCATCGCTTCTTCGGCCCATACCGGAATCGTCTTCGTTGCAACGATTCTCATCTCTCTCAAACCCAAACAAAAACCCGAAATCAAATCGTTTTTTCTGACCCATACTCCCACAAATCCCAAAAAGACCATTAAATGCTCTGATACCATGATAACTTTATAAACTTAAACACTCTTTATTTATTTTTACTCAAACACAACATATACACAAACACACTAATCAATACACACTCACAAAAGGATCCACACAAACTACTCTCTACGAGTAGGATCACAAAAGTTTTCTTCACTCTGCAATAATTTATTTGTCCATTAATACATGCTCTTTATAGAGCCTTTTGATAACCGACACAAACTAATGAAAAAAATCATAACACTTGTCTATTAAAATCTGTAATAAAAAACCACCACAAACTGCTCCATATCTCTTTCCCACGTCATTTTCTTCTGCATCAAGTGAGCTTGATCCATAGTTCCAACACTATTGTTCGTGGCTATGATTTAGCTAATGATATACGGTTGAAATACGTCATTTTCTTCTGCATCAAGGCGACTCTAATTATTTGCGACTA